TAATTTTTTGTGGCTTTTGAGACAGGGTCTCACTATGTAGTTGAGACTGACGTGGAACTCACTGTGTAGCCCAGGCTGGTCGAACTCACAGTGATCCTCCTGCCTCAGCCTCCCAAGTGCTGGGATTACAGGCGTGCACCATCACGCCTGGCTTTACTGAGTATCTAAAGGTTAGTGAAGCTCAATGGGTATGCTAGTAAAGATAGAGGGGCTGGGTGTGGTGGCATATGCCTGTAGTCCTGACACATGAGAGGATAAATCAGAAGGATCATATAAAATTTGAATTCAAGACCAGCTTGAACTACATAGTGAGACCCAGTTTCAAAAAAGAGGAGATTGGGAACAGGAGAATAAAAAAGTAAAATTTGAGGGCTGGGGATTTAGTACAGTGGCACAGCATGCCTGCCTGGCAAGTGCAAGTTTGAGTTCAATCCCCAGTACCAAAAAAAAAAGAAATTTGAAAAAGAAATAAAATAAGATAAAGATTTCTACTAAAGAAATCAGTATAATTAGATAATAGCAACAGAAAAGAAGAAATAAAAGGAAAAGAGTTCCTCTGTTTTTGTCTGTTTCTGGTGCTGAGATCGGACTCAGGTCCTTGTGTTTACAAAGTAGACAGCGGAACCACTGAGCTAAATCCGTGGCCCAAGATTCCTGTTTTTGAATGAGTGGTTTCTTAGGGCCGGGGTATTAGCTCAGTGGTGCCACCTCCTGCCTCATAAGCACAAGGACTTGAGTTCGATTCCTGGTACCAAAAAAAAAAAAAATGAGTGATTTCTTTCCAGGGTCTGTAATCTGGAATCCAGTAGTTATGAGAGAGAGATTGTGAGTCACTGCTAAGACCTGTTTGGTTTCCACATCGCACATTTATGTATGAATGCTAAGTCCTGGCCTGCCTTTCCCACTGCATGATTATTGGTCAATGACAGTAGTAGTCACTTGGGCAGCTCCCACTTTCTGTGTCCCTCTGTGCACCCCCAGGCATGGTTTTTTTCTGCCTACCTTTACACCCAGTGGGTTTGTGAGGTGCTTCCCTGCTCCAGAGCCTCCTGTTCCATATTTCCCAGGCTATAGCAACTCTCCGAGTCTAGCTGTATTCTTGCTCAAGCTGGCAGATGGGGAAAGCGACCAGTATTGAGGGGGCATCTCAAGCAGTCTGCTGGACTTGGTGCTAGCACTTCCGGCCATAGCTGTCTGGAAGCCACATATGCCTTGACTGGCTTCTTAATGTGGAGGGTGGGGCCCCTGAGTCTTTCCCAGCCTGAGCCCTGAGCTTCTTCTGATCTCTGTCCAGCTCACACTCTCTCCACAGCCTGTCTCTTGTGTCCATCTCTCACCCAGTCCCTGTGGTAAGGTGACACCAAAACTCTGGAGTGTAGTTGTTTTGGCTCAGTCTTAAAGAGTCCCTTCCCCAAATGGCTCCTGATTAAACCCTCTCAAATATGGTGGGCACTGCAGTGGATTAACTCAAATTTGATAGTAGTTTTTGTTTCAAGAATCTGTTGACATGTCTGTAATCCCAGCCCTGTCAAGGACAGGGCAGGAGGAGTGCCTTGAGTTTGAAGCCAGCCTGGGCAACAGAATGAGACCCTTCCCAAAACACCAAACCAAATCAAAAGTAATGAAGTCTGGGAATGTAGTTCAGTGTTAGAGGGCATGCTTGGCATGCAGGAGGCCCTGGGTTGCATTCCAGGGCAGGAGGAAAGGAATGCCTATTGAATCGTCTTTGCTATAATATTTTAGTATTATACATACTATGTATATACATATATGTAATCTAAAAATAGTTTTATTTATTCATTTTTGTAGCCATTGGAAAAGAAGTTTGTCCGAGTTTCAGGAGAAGCAACTATTGGGCATGTAGAAAAGTTCCTCAGAAGAAAAATGAGTCTTGATCCAGCTTGTCAGGTATAGTACATATATGTAAAAGAACAGGTAAATTTGTGAGATTACCTTTAGCATACTGAAGAAAGAACTATCCTAGGATTTCATGCCAGTGCCTTTTTGTTTTATGAGTCTATAGACATTGTAAATGTTAATTGAATTTTTTTTTTTTTTTTTTTTTTT